TCCAATTCGATAAGTGAAAAGAACAATGAACGAGTCACTTAATTCGACCACATTCGCTATAAAAAAACAGATCGTGATCCAAACAAAAGAATAAAGATGATCTCATATTATTGGAAGCAATGTTTTACTCAACAAAAAACCAACTCATGTTTTTGTGTTTTATTGTCCCGATTCTTTCTCTGAATGGATGCGCAGTTGTCTCTACTTTCAGTTTGGAAATAATGCGTGAGTATCTGAAAAATGAGTGCCAGTACGATTTATTTGATTGTATCGTGTCTGCAGGATAAATTCGCATCCGAGAAAAATGGTCCTTTTCCTGTTAGGAAACGCGAGGTTTTACAGGCAATACAAGTTAGGTGTATTTTATTTTTGGTAGCAATGCACCCGCTAAGCCGACGAAAGAATACGAATGTTCATAAATAATAGAACGTAAATGTACATTCTACATGCGAAGTTACCTTCTGTGCAGACGATTGAATCCGAACAGTAAATACACTTCAAAGCGAATAAAATTTCCTTTTTTGGAGACCCGTAAAATCTCCGCACCGGAAAATACTTCAATTTTATCGTTCGCTTTGGATAACAAACTTAAATTTCATTACTCTTCTATATTGCTCTTTACAGCTTTTGGCGGTGGATGCAAACATATTTTATTAGGTTGCGGTGGAATTTATGCGACGGTAAAAAGCTTTCTGAATCTTTTATGAAAACCTCTGCCATTTTTCTTTGATCAGACTTACAAAGTTGAGTCGTTGATAAATCGGCCTACAGTAAAACCAGCTCCAGTCCGTATTGTCAAAGTTTGCGACCAACTTTTTCTATTATTTTCGTTATTGTTTCTGAGCCCATCGCTGTTTGCAAGAGAAAGTTCAATAACATAATGAGAGGCAGAACAAATCAAAACATTTGACGATCATAATAAATCAAACACAAATACCCTTAATATTTATAAGTTCTGGATATTAAATTAATATTTGAATAAATTAGCAAACAATTGATTGAACCGTATTCTGAAACTTCAGTTGAAAGCAAAAATAATCAATGAAAAGAAAAATACAAAAGCCTTGTGAAGCTTTCACAACCATTTTATTCCCGTATGATACACATTACTTTTTTACGTCAGTTCCCCTGCTTTAACTTAATACGAGCCCCCATATGTAGCGATTTCAACACTGATTTGGGAAAAGTTAGAAGCATCTTTAAATGATACATAAATTGCCGCGATGAGGATTATAAGGGTTTAGGAAAAACGATCGAAAATGCCATCTCTGTGTGGCAATAAAACCCCTAATGGAAAAATACGATCATTTCGAAAAATTCAATAGAGCAATAAAACGTGAAATCGTTAACACAATATCCGTTGAGATCAACACTTTAAAAGATGTGCCGACAAACATGATCGATCCAGGTGAGAGTATCACCCAACAAGTGGAATAGAAGTGATTTGTACATTTTTGAAGTAATGCAGACGAAAGAGATGTAGGAAAGAATTCGTCATCTTCCAGGACACCTGCAATGAAAATAGAATAAAAAGACTCCACTCTTTCTTAATTCGTTAGCAGCTGAACCCTGCGGGATACTGAGAGTGTGAATGCGGCTGATGGCAAGGACGCGTAGCAAAAAATAAATAATGATAAAAACTTTGGGCATTTCGATAGAATCAAGCAACAAAACTCCAAATGGAACCTATTAAAATGTTTGACGCAGATTTTCCCTGATATCTTTCTTTTGTAGGATGATTCAAATAATCGTTCAAAAGAATCTCAATGAAGATGGAGACCATTAGCCCAAAAGCAGATTCGCCAAATCACAAAATACTCAAATATATGAAATTGCATTTGCTGTCTAATTTAATGGTGTAATTACAAAAAACTGTTCATTCAATGATTTCAATTTGTGGGAACTACAAGCGTGTAATTACTCAGAACTGGTAAATTTGGCACTGGATAGCCATTACATTATAATCAAACCGCTGCCTCCCAAATGCAGACAACAATGTAAAAGCACTCGGACATTTACTACCATTCTATAAAATTGTAGGAATTTGCCCGAGGCTCTGCGGGACGAAAGTAATACAACTTTTGTACTACAACTACCATTACATTTGCAAATTTCAGAATTTAATTTGAAAGTTTTGGTCGGAGTGCCCTATGCGGAGTTGACGCGAACAACTTTCCTGAAGGGCGCTTACCTCAAACCTTCAAGTTTCATGTGGCCAATACATGTATTTTCTACATAAAAACTAGGCTTTGTAGTTGTTTGGCATAATTCATGCATTTGAATGGATGTGGAAGTTTAAATATTGTATTTGAGATTGGTCAAAAGGAGCTCGTCATGTCGTCTATCAAGCACACGTAAATTGAAAACAGTTTATTTTATATAACTGTATACAGATGAGGTAGCAGGCTTGTAGGTCGGAAGTTTTCAGTATCTGTTATGTCTGTTGGCGATCCATGAGAATAATTACCAATAGACTGGGGCTTATACAACAGGCCCGATTTAGATGTACATTTGTTAAGCTGTCATGTAGTTAATATATTAAACTGCAGTTAATATGTCTTTTGTAAAGTTTAGCATTACGAGCCAACTATGCAGGTTTCGATGTGGCTAATTAGAAAATCGGTATATTATATAATTAAATTTCAAGCAAAAAGTAAATCTTCTAAACCGATTGAACTGTATTATTCATTGTGCCATTTACTCATCTATCAATCACTTCTCGCAATTGATCAATCGAAAACAATAAATAGGTAACGTAAATTCAGTCAAAGTTCCTCTTTACATATTTATTTCAGCCTTTGCAATTTAAAAGAAAACTTGAATAATTCAATATTCGGCTTCAAATAGCAAGCAATAAATAAGCCGCTGTTTGGAGCAGCGTGTATTCGCAATTTTCAGAAGCTTCATCAATCATAACGCCTAAGATAGGGAACTTGCCAAACAATGCATTCGAGCAATTCCCATTTCATTCTGATCAAAAGGAAGATTACACAATGTGAAATAAACGATGAAAGAAATAGATTATTTTCCTTTGATACAGTGTCCAAACAGGGGACTTATTTTTACAGAGTAGACACATGAATAATCGAGGGAATTAAAAGGATCAGCATTTTCATTTGAATCATTAATCATTTTTTATTTCACATTTTAAGTGAATGCTTTGCTAACGCCATTTTAATATTTCGCAATTAATTGTCATTTTATCTGTACATTCACTTTTCTTCATGAGTTTATCTAGTGTCAGATTAACAATACAAATTCTGAAAAATAGTCACTTGTTACTCAATAAGCAAAACATTAGTTCAACGATTAATTTTGACTCGCACTTGAAGTGAAAGTACATATTTTTCAGTCGCCTTGAGAAGTACCATAGATTTAATAATAAGCGATGCTTTCGACTTTAGAATTTGCAACTTTAGAATAAATGAAAATCGGAAAAATTATCCTTACTAAACTGATACTATAATATGTGGTTCACACCCTCCCCTTTGGCTTCCAAAATTTTGCATGAAAAACTTTGCATCGAATGCAGATGAAACTTCAAAAATAACATGCTTGAGAAGGGAAAAATGTAGCAAAAGTGTGTAGCACTATACTGGAATTACCAAAAGAAGTTGAAAAAATCCTTAATTTGTATTCAGCACGCTGAAAACTTAAATTTACTTAAAATATTCTCAAATGTGGGCATTGAAGAATAATTCTTTTTATATTTAAGATATATATAACGCAACAAGGTTCAGATACTTTCAATTAAGTATAATGCTCTTCTCCAGTAGGTGTACCGATATTATTACATTTTAATAAGCTACTTGTGCGTATTGAAGATGTTTCATTTCAATTTGAGATGCAAAGTATGAAAATATTCATAAACTTAGCAGCACACCCTGAATTACTGGTATAACCCATTTTTTCAGATTCAGCGTATCAAAATTTCTTTATTGGTCAAAAAACTAATTTTCAAATTGGCTTTTTTATCCTTAGGTAGCCTGACGGTTTAAAATAATGCATATTTGAGATGCTGTTATAAATTACTTTAATAGACCGTGTCAAAACTTATTTGCTCGAAGAAAAAAACTGTAGGGCTGTTTGTCCCTTGAGAGTGCCCCGAACTGTTCGGCTACAAAGATTAAGCTTTGTAAAATTCGAATTTAGGAAAAAAGATATGGGCTATAAATAACAGAAAGATGGAAATGGACAGGTTCCACTACGTATTACTTGGTACAAAAAGATATCAAACAATTAAAAACCCTAAATATAAATTGCCGAACAGTGGATTTGTTTTTGTGTACAAATTAGCTGGTCAAAGCAATTTTATCAACGAAAATGTGGGTTTGTTCAAGACTTGAGTCGAAAGAGGCTCTTAAAGTTACTGCAATTGTACACACATACGATCGACAAACCATGTACATGGACAATACCATTTGCGGATGGCTGGGCAGTATTAATGACTATTCATGAACCAATGATTTCCAACTGGATTTCATTGGAAATTCCTAACATTTAAGCTATTGGAACCGATGGATTGGAGTGTTCTCTCTTGGATCAAAATTCGAGTAAGCTAGAAGCAAAAATATAAACATTTTACAGAGCCTCGAAGATTGAAAAAGGTATTTCAGAAACGGTTGAAAACACGTGCTCAGCTAATAGTCATTTAGATGAGTGCATTCCTCAAAGTGACTAAAAAATAGATTCCCATCAGCGGTCAACCGAACTGAGCAATAGTTGCTGACCAATGACTTGCTAATTACGTTTTTCTGGAAATTGAAGCAAAGCTTATTAAAGTATCATTCCTGAAGGCATTAAAAAATTTCATCCGAGTTCATTAATCGAGGTGTAGAATGTATAAAGTTTTTATCCGATAAATCAGTGAATAGTTACTTCATCAAGCGTATATCTCTAGAGACGTGCCACGCGATGCATGATATTCCCCCTAATCCATCCAAACACCAAACCGGAATATGAAAGAAAAGAAGAAAGAAAGCCTTTCACAATCCCGGTCACGCCTTGGTAATTGCCATACTATAAGAAGCTGCCCAGCCACAATCACACCATCAGTTTTGGTTTGGCTTTTCTACGAGTATCAAAAATGAGTCGTTTAACTGTAAGTGTACTTTGTGGTTCTTTTTCAACAACGGACTAATTGGGAGTTTTTGGTGATGTGTGACTGGTGAATGGGAAAAGTGTGCATATCTCTCGAAATGCCGGATATTAACAATTTTCGCGTTCTCTGGTGTTTATTTAAAATCAAGCTAAATGTTTCCCCAATTTTCCCTAAATATTGTTCAATACAACTCTCCCTTAAGACACATACCTACTTTTGAGCAAACTTTTCGCCCCTGACAAGTTCTAGTTTCAAGCTATTAAGTTTTTTTTATCCATATCAACATAAATGACAAATTGGTGGAAATTTCATAGTATTCCAGATTTGATCAAACAAACGATTTGTTATACATCTAAAATTCACGCAATTAAATTAAAACTGTTTAATTTTGAAGGCAGTGCTTTCTAATACTGAAAAGCAAATTCCAATTTTATAAATATTATATTAATTTCATGATTTAATTATTCATAATTTTCATTAATTGATATTCGTTTAATTATGTGGACATTTTCAGCACAAAGTAAATCCTTACCATTTGAAATTCATTCCAGTTTCAGCACCTACCTATAAGAGATATTTTGACATTCACTGAACAAACAATTGAACTATTCGGCATCTCGTTTGAGCATCTAAATTAAATAAGTCAATCGGTTTGTTTGTAATCACGTGCGTAATTTTTAGGTCTTTTTCAAGCCTTCAGAAAACAATTTATCTAAATTAAAGTCTTAAATAGGAGACGAGATTAGGACATAAAACTAGCACTGGTTAATGTTTAAATTTCCAACTCTACACACAAAGAAAAATTGCCAACATTCAAGGGTGTTAATGAATCCTAAAAAAATAACATTAGCAAGGTCGGAATGTTGTTTTTAATTTAATGCATTCGAGTTAAATACCACGAGATGGAAGCAGTTTGTCGTTATTTCATGAATGTAAATAATCTAAAGAAAATAGACATTCAAACAATCATTATTAAAAACTTTTACAGAGAAAATGATATGTTAAGTATTCAATTGCCTCAAATGACAAAATAATTGAAAAACATTTCTTGATTTAAACAGCAAACCATTAAATAAAAAAAACATTTCAGTAAGTTAGCAGCATTTTTGTAAAATTGGCCGCTTCAAGATTTTTACCTCATACCTCATAATGAAAATGGTTTTAAATATTTTATCATTTCCTATCACAATCTTCGGAACATCCGAATTTTCAACCTATTACCATTTCCATCCTTGTCAAGTAAAGCATGATATACAAAATACCTTACTTAGTTTCAGTTTTCATTTCGTTCATCCTGCTCATTATCCAATATAAATAGGACTCCGAAGTACCGTAAAATATTTATTAGAGCCGGTCTAGAGATGTTTTACTTCGATTAAACATTTGAGCAAATTGTTTATCAGTTGACTTCGTGTATCCCTCACAGCACTTCTAATTGCTATCCTGAAAGCTAACCACGTTTTTCGAATTTAAAAGTCGCCCTATACCCCACTCTTTTACAACTTTGAAGAGCTTTCTCATAAATAATAATGCTTCTCGTGATGTTTGCCAGCAGTACTAATTTATATTTTAAACTATAATTTATATTCAAACCCGAAACCATGCTGCGTTCTGTAACATAAAAATATTCATTATTTTCTTTGCGGTTTCAATCGATTTAAAGTTGATGACCCAGTGTAAAAAATATTCAGATAAATACAATTTATTGTCGCACATCAGAAAATACCCTCAACATATACTCAGTTTTCCGGGGTAGAACAGTATTTCTGATAGTTGAAAATGTTTGCTAATTTTTTCATGCTGCAAATCTCTTCATCGTTTCGTTACGCATAGATTCATTTATGCCCTTTCACTTCAGCTGAAATCCATATAACAAAGCAACGTTTTCCACCATTATTCGGCTAATATCAACTGCTTAAATCAGATTGCTCTGAGGGCTGGCTGATTTTTAAATTAATCACGCCTAAAATTGTGCGCGTAAAAATTTGCTAATCAATAAAAGAGAAATTCTTCGCGCTCCTAACTTGCTATTATCAGCGATTAAATTTAATAACTGTCTTTGGAATTTTGACGTTCTTGCGCGACTGATTAATTTAATATATTTCCTCATAATCCCAGAATGCGAAAAGATTTTTTTTACTTATGAATGCAATGAAAAACGTAAATATTTATTGTTGCTTTCACCGGCTTCTTTCTGTTGTTCTGTTCGAATGTAATGTGAAAGTCTTGTTGAGTTTCCACAGAAAAAACATTGCAAAATCCGGAACAATGTTGGTTTTTGCTAAAAACGAAAACGTTCGGCTTGGTTATAGATATTCAAAAAACCGCATTTGGTGTCTACAAAATCCCTTAAACAAACAACGCTGGAACGATTCTATGGATCGATAGAATTTCCTGAGCCAACCTGCTTTTCCTGCAATAGGAATAAATTCAGAATATTACATATTTGGCACGTATTTTGCATTTTTCTACATCATATCCACACTTTCACTTAGGCAAATTTGATAAGTTTTGACACAAAATCATTTTTAAAGTTTTATTTCAGTTAGTTTCCTTATTCAATACGATCCAGTGAATTTTGAATTAACTAGTAATTATTTGAACTATTTCTGCCTTCAATAAACAACTTTTTGCTTCCTAACTGATTTATTAAAAGAAAGCGACTATCCACGTTGCGGAAGCTCAATTATTAAAAGAAACAAAACCGGAAATAACTTTCAGAACGCGTGCACTTTCCTAGTAGTTACTTTTACTTCTCGACTTGGATTACTTTTACTTTTTAAGTGAAAAATAAAGCAAACGAGATTACATTAATTTTAATATGTATGGATTTAAGCCCGATGCTTGCGAGCCATAATTGCATCTCGCTCGCTTTTCTTCCACTTAAATGCTAAGGTAAAAAACCCATTGAATCTAGAGAAAGTTAACAGATGGAATTGTTCAGATAGATCATTAGGTTTTAATCGCCTAAGAACAACAGTTTTTTTTTATCTTCTTAATAGTATTGATGTTTGTGCATTTTAGGCTTTTAACATCTAATTATATGGCAGTTAAATATCTAATAGGGAAATTTAAGTCGAGACAAAAATAAATCATAATATAAATTCTAGTGTAATTTGCTTTCACCAATTGTAACCAGTATTTCCTAATGGTCAGTTTTTGCTATTTTCTCAATTGAAATATCTTATGTTCAAAAAATTTATTAGATGAAAGGTGAAAGGATGCAGAATAATAAATGATTGAGTGTTTGGAATAAGTTTGCGGTAAGTGGAAAATGAAGACGTTTGAAAGCGGCACGAACAGTTCGAGTCTTTAGCAAACCTGTTTGTTGTACATATTTTCGAGTACTTTACTTACAAATTTGCCACTTTTGTTTATTGACATTCAATATTTATTATTAATTTTCAATTCAATTTTAATTTAATTTTACTGTTTCTAGCAATCAACAATTTATATTTATTTTTCCATATGTCCACTACTTTATCCTCTTAATTAGGTTCAAGTGTTTAATCCGAAATAAATAAATTCCATGTTATATTTCATATTACATGAAAATCGACTTAGCTGCATGAAATTCAATTTAAAAGGTTTTAGTTTTGCCAATATAATTCTATACGTTGGAAAATTTAATTATTATCAATGTATTTTATAAATACAGACACTACACTGTTCAACCATTGATTGAAGTTAATAAAAAAAACAGTAATAGTGGTATTATTCAAACGTATCAGCTTAGTATGTTACTTTTTTCAAGGAAAAAAATCACATAAGAAAGGTATACCAAACGAAAAATTTAAGTGAAAGCAGCAAAAAAAACAAACAGTTTATGCATTACTTCTTAATTAAAATTTTCTTCACTACAATCCTTCAATTTTATCATCCAATAGACGGGTGTATTTAGTTTAGAAAAACTGGTAGTGTTGGATAATTCAAACTTGCCCTATTTTGGAAATTGTGCTGCCAATGAAACAGAAGATTTTCTCTTGTGTAGATAGTATTAATTTTCCGATATGCAAGCAGATATTCTTGAGTATTTCATTTTCAGTGACAATTTGAATTTCACAAACAAATTTTAAAATGCTCCGTCCGGCGTATTCTTTTACCATATGTTTGAAGAAAATCGTCTAATTTTGTTTGTTATATTATCAAAGTTAAACGAATATGTATACTTCATAAACCAATCGTTTTCGATTTTTTACCATTCAATCCAGTCAAAAAATGGAATGAGAATTGAAAAATACTGTACCGGAGAACATGATACTAACGTATAATGCACACGAATTGCAGTACAACCTGTTTAGCAAGATGTAATTTTTTTTTAGTGTTCGATCGTCCTTTTAGTCCTAGCACTTGGAAGCGCCCATGGAGGAATCCTCGAGGACCATGGTGGCAACGACTTGTCTGGACACGAAGGAGGAGGTGATGGCGGGTACGGTGGAGGAATTGCCGAATATCAAAGCTCAGGGGGAGGTAACGTCTCAAAAACTAATATTACCAAGTTCCCAATGGAATATAACTCTCAAATTGCAAAGAAAAACTAAACTACCTGACTAAAATCATTACCCACAGATAATGCTGTGAACCTGACTTACAAAAAGTTATAAGAAACTATGGAAAATTTGGCATTTATATTAATATTTATAAAAATAAACCATGGTACGTAGTTAGCAACAACGCAATCAACGAAGTCAAGGGAACGTGGAATAGAAATAAACGAGAAATTGAAAAATATATACCCATGTTTGGGCTGCTTGCTCAACAGCTGGCGGATCACTCAGGCTAATTGAAAAAATGATAAAATCTTCTGAGACAAACATTAGTTGAAATGGTAAACGTCCGACTAAATAAAATGTTTTATTTCTTTTGCAGATTACGGCGGCGGTTATGAATCAGGCGGCGGAGATGATGGTGGTAATGGAGGATGGCAACCACTAGGAATCCACGGCCAAGATGGTTCCCATGAAGGTTTCGATCAACAACCCCAAGTGCAGGTGGAACATCAACACATTCCCACTAGGGAAATTGTAAAAGAAGAACTCTATCCTGTGCCTGTGTTGAAGAAAATCAGCTACCCTGTGCCACATCCAGTGGGAGTACCCGAACCACAAGTAATAAAAATTGGAGTTCCTCAGCCGTATGGCGTGCAGGTTCCAGTGCCGCAACCGATTGCCGTACCCATCTACAAACTGGTGCCCCAAGAAATCGAAAAGCGAGTTCCCATCACCGTTGAAAAGCTTGTGCCCGTCTATGTTCCCAAACCAGTCAAAATTGAGATCGAAAAGCATCACGTTGAATACATTAAGAAACCCTATCCAGTTCATGTGCCAGTCTACAAGCACGTTTTCCAACATGGAGGTGGCGGACATGGAGGACACGGAGGTCATTAAATACTTTCCATCTCAGACTGATAGCGCTAAAATCGAACGAAACTGTCTTCAATTCCGTGTCATATGTTATTGCAATGGTTGTTCTACGTGATGTTTTCATTTGTTTATTTAATATTAGTTATCCACCTCATTTACCTTTCCTTTCATTCCTCATCTTTTGAATGGTGTATCAATCTTGTGTCTATGTGATGCGTGCGTGTATATAATATGTTGTTATTAGTTTTTTAAGTGTTTGTAATTGCGTCGTTTTTTTAATAAAATTGTTTGCGAAAATTTCCCATGTTTTTCTTTTAAACACTTTGGCAGCTGAACCGGATGAGTTTGAACTTTTGAATTATTCAGTTGATAACTCGGACAATGCAATCATTATGATTAGGCACTACAACCGAACCAGGTAAACATCGGAAACTCACATCAACTGTCCTAAATAGCTAAAAAGTTTCAAAATATCTGCTTTTAAATTGAAAAACTGCAAAAAACGTAGCTACAAATGCTCATATGATAGAAACGCGATTGAAGCAAAAAAATACGATGAAGGCAGATAAATTAACTTTCGCAAAACAAGTTTGAGGCAGCATTTAAAGGTTGTTGTTGCATACGCTTTAGGAAAGATTGGCTAGACATTTTTTTGCCATATGTTTAAAGTATCTGCTCTGACAATTTAACTTTGATGAAAACACGGTCTATGTTAACGTTTAAATTTTTCAAATAAAGGACCTTTATTTTGGACAATCAGTATCTAATATTTGCTTTTCAGCTACAAAATTTTTGTTGTGTATAATTTTTGTAATGCTATGAATATTTTTGATCACCTTTTGAACCTCGACAATAATATGAAAATCTCTTGTGCTTGATGATATGGTATTAAGTGCTTACCGCTCACTATAAGATATTGTGGGTGTAAACCTTTTTAGACTAGTTGATATACAAGCTCAAAAAACTGTTTTTATAGATTTCCCTTTTAAGCAACATTTTTTGATCACTTTTAGTATTGTGATGTAATGTTTCTATGACGTCTGTATTTAGTATTGTTGGTTTTGCAATGCGGATCTTTTAGGATGCAATGCAATTTTATAGCCTGTAAAATGTAGTACAGAACTTTATTTTAAGAGTTATATATAGAAAGCAAAAAAGATTACCAACTCAGCAGCTCTATTTTGAGGAGGTATTCAATCTACGCTGGATATACGTTTTGTCTACATGTATTTATATCCATAAATCAAATAACTTAAAAACTTATGTTAGTCACACTCATGGGACCAGGAATGAGTGAACAAACACCTGAAAGTGCCAAGCATTAAAAAAAATATCGGGCACCGATTTTTGGATTATTTAGCTCCTAAATTGTATAATGTCCTACAGAATAACTTGAAAGGGGTGAATAGTATTAGAAATTTTAGTAAGGGCTGCAGAAAATTTATTTTTCAAAATATAGGCAAATTTGATTTTTTTTTAGTGGTTTTTGGGGGTGTTGCTTCTGGGTGATGGGATATTTCATGTATCTTTCTTTTCGTTTAAATTAAATAAATTAAATTAGTTTTAGGTATATTTCAAATAAATTAAAACGTATGTCGTAATTCTTGAAAATCATTTTCATTTGGATGATGCATACAAATGTCTGGAACATTTAGGCATCAATATATTAATTAAGTTAAGTTAAGTTAAGTATGTGGACTTATTCTGCCTTTAGCTAATTAAAGATGCTTCAAGTTGAAATAAATAAAATAAAATAAATACATAAATAAAAAAATAGATATGTGCGGCGGTGCCAATGAGAGAAACATTAGATTTACTCCATGAAGGACAAAAATTCATATTATTATATCAGTTAAATAAATATTATTATTATTATGAATTTAAATTTCAAGAAATGAGATAATATCCATATAGGTATGTGTATCACTGTTGCAATAATGCAATTTGTTTCGTTGCTTCTTACCTAATATGTAATGGGCTGCCACTACAGGATTTATTAATTGTTTATTAAAAACAGAAGCGGAAAATTGTCCGATTTAAAACATTATTAGCTCGAAACCGAAGAGGTTTCCCTATGAAACACTCGTAAAATCAACCGCATAGTAAATGAGATGTGCTCTCAACACACATAATAACATTTTTATAGCCTGTAAAAAACCTTATTTTGCCCCATTTGGGATGGTCATGTAAAGCAGGCACGGTCATTCCAATAAATCACTCCTCTTTCCGTTATCCGGCCCTTTATAAGCACTTAAGATTTCCACCAAAGGTCTTTTCCAGATCCTAGTGGCGGAAAATTAGGGTCGAATATTAAATTTCGGGTTATATCGCGCAATTTATAAAACTTTTCATTGCACTGGAGATTCTGGCATTGAAATAGGCACAGCTGACGTTCTACGAGTTGCCCGGGGCGAAGATAATTTCAATCGAAATTAGGATAATATTGTCACAGTAATCTGCTAACAGAAATTTTCCTTAAAGTTAAATATTCGGTGATCTCAAGTATTTTCCTTCAATTTCAATATTTAACATCAGAAAATCCTTATCTTAATATTTTATCGCCTTTTTAGCAGGTAAAATAGCTAATATGAAGAGGGGCAAACACAACATTTACCCGAAAAAATAGGCAATAGATATTTTATCCGTAAGATCCGCATTCCTAAGATTTGCTCCTAAATGACTATCAACAAGAAATCCTCTTAAATATTACCTAAATAGTTAGAGCGAATTATTCTTTAGGGTCTGATTGAGTAAAGAACAAAAAACCAACGTTAGAGAATACCGATAGGATAAACAGAATTTCGTGCAATTCTTAGAGGAAAAACAGTCCATAAAGGTTCAGGTCAGCCAAGCTCAGGTAGCACAGAATGATCAAAAAGTAAAATATATCTACTACTCAGAGGCAATTACAAAATAAATCATTCAGAATGAAGCTAGTACAGAGGATATTTACAATTGTAGACTTCATCAAACAAATTAACAAAATCTTAACAAAACTTTATGAATCACTATACTCCTCAAAGAACTGGATATATATCTTTTACGCATAAAAAATACTAACCAAATGGTTGTTTAAACGCCATAAATATGGCCTAGATATTTATGAAACAATTTTACTTACTTCCAAAATAAAAAGCTGTTTAGTTTTAATATTAGTAATGTTTATACCACTACATCAACCCCATAATTGTTAGCCGGCGCATAGATTAACTATTTTGGCTATTCACGCTATACGGCACGGAAGTTTGCGGCTAAACCGTTTGATTTTAAAAAAGGATTATTTTATGAATTGTCCGACGCCTACCGAGCGCACATTTTAAAAATATTTTTGTAATGTACAGGGTGTCTCAAAAGGCCTAAAAGTATCAAAGTTGTGTTTTTTTAAATGAAATACCCTATATATTATTGCATTTTTGGATTCTCTGAGCAAAATAAGTGTTTGTTTTAATAAGATTTATAATGTC